TAAAAAGTTATATATATATATGTAATACATGCATACGTACCATATCCAAATACTTCAAGGACGTTGACAGATAGAAATACAGTAAAAAATAACAAAGATTCCATGATACGTCCACTCGGGGAAATGAGTAGGAAGTAGTTATATTTACAGGGTAACAAATATTACTACCTCAAACGTAAAATTGATATGAATCAAAACGGGTCAGTGCACTCACCCCCCTTTTTAAAATAAAAATACCCGTCTTTAAAATAATAGGGGAATACTATATCATAATACCTGATGCAATGTCTACAAACAAAATGGACTCGTTGTTACAATGAAATAGATACTAGTATACTGTACTACCTAGGGATGTTTTTAATGTATACATGCACTGTTCAATTGCCTATTCAGTTAATCAAAAGTCTTGAAATTGCTATCTGATCATGATGAACTGTGTGCCTATAAGTGATATGTTGTTTTACACAAAAGTTATCACTAATTTCATCTAATTTTCTTTAGACATTCACAATCTAGTTAAATATCAAACATCATCTTCACATATACATTTCAGTATCCTAACAGAAAAAAAAATTATATTTGATTTGAATATTTTATTTCTAAACAAAATTCATTCATGTTTTTCTTGTAAGAGGTGTTTGGTATACATTTGTAAACAAAATTATCTGATCATAATGTAGCCAATGAATTTTGTTAATATCAATTTGATTTAGAATGAAGAAAATAAATTTAGAAATACACTCATTAAAATTCGTAGGAAAGGTTAATTAGTTGATTAATCGTAGAGAGTGAGCGAATATAAAAATGGTAAGCTTGTAGATTTAACTGTTTGGCGCTTTATTCAAGGTCAAGGACGTATCAGTATAAATATTTTAATAGTTATGACCTTTGGCCTCTGTCTTTAAGTAAAAAAACCCCCAAATATCTCACAGTGGCCTTTTCAACTTCTGGTTTTTTACATTTGTCAGTTGATATAAAAATATTTATTGCCAGTTAATAAAAATATCTCATACTCGGTGAATCCAAGTACTATAAAATACAAGTATTACATTACGTAAAACGGGTCATAATCAGCACATCGTGGGGTATTTCGTGAATCAGGAAAGACAAGAATTATTTTTGCATGGTTGATGATATAAATCATCTGTAGGTATATTATCTTATCTTGCTTATTTAGCTTGCGTGTGACGTCATTGTTAGTTTTCTCGTACTCGAGAAATGTAAACTTGTTTAACGATGTACTGCACAATATTGAGGTAAGCTTCACCTTTCGATATTTTTACAGTTAATCAATGAAATGAAGGACTTCATTTTCAATGCAAATTTTCAAATATTGAATGATAGAATTTTTTTTTCAAATTAAGTTTTAAGCTCACCTGAGCTGAAAGCTCAAGTGAGCTTTTCTGATCACATTTTGTCTGTAGTCCGTTTGTCCGTCTGTCCGTCTGTCTGTAAAATTTTCACATTTTCGACTTCTTCTCCAGAACCACTGGGCCAATTTCAACCAAACTTGCCACAAAGCATCTTTTGGTGAAGGGAATTCAAGTTTGTTCAAATGAAGGGCCACGCCCTCTTTCAAGGGGAGATAATTAAGAATTAGTGAAAAATGAATAGCATCTTTCAAAAATCTTCTTCTCAAGAACCACAGGGCCAGGAAAGATGAAACTCATATGGAAGCATCCCCAGGTAATGTAGATCCAAGTTTGTTCAAATCATGACCCCCGGGGGTAGGGCGGGGCCACAATGGAGGATCAAAGTTTTACATAGAAATATATAGGAAAATCTTTAAAAATCTTCTTCTCAAGAACTGTAAAGCCATGATGAGTCATATTTATATGGAAGCATCCCCAGGTAGTGTAGATCCAAGTTTGTTCAAATCATGACCCTGGGGGGGGGGGGGGTAGGGCGGGGCCACAATGGAGGATCAAAGTTTTACATAGAAATATATAGGAAAATCTTTAAAAATCTTCTTCTCAAGAACTGTAAAGCCATGATGAGTCATATTTATATGGAAGCATACCCAGGTAGTGTAGATCCAAGTTTGTTCAAATCATGACCCCCGGGGATAGGGCGGGGCCACAATGAAGGATCAAAGTTTTACACAGAAATATATAGGAAAAATCTTTTAAAATCTTCTTCTCAAGAACTGTAAAGCCATGATGAGTCATATTTATATGGAAGCATCCCCAGGTAGTGTAGATCCAAGTTTGTTCAAATCATGACCCTGGGGGGGGGGGGGGTAGGGCGGGGCCACAATGGAGGATCAAAGTTTTACATAGAAATATATAGGGAAAATCTTTAAAAATCTTCTTCTCAAGAACAGTAAAACCATGAAGAGTCATATTTATATGGAAGCATTCTCAGGAAGTGTAGATTCAATTTTGTTCAAATCATGACCCCCGGGGGTAGGGCGGGGCCACAATGGAGGATCAAAGTTTTACATAGAAATATATAGGAAAAATCTTTAAAAATCTTTTTTTCAATAACAGTAAAGCCATAAAGAGTCATACTTATATGGAAGCATCCTCAAGAAGTGTAAATTCAATTTTGTTCAAATCATGACCCCCGGGGGTAGGGCGGGGCCACAATGGAAAATCAAAATTTTACATAGAAATATATAGGAAAAATCTTCTTTTCAAGAACAGTAAAGCCATGAAGAGTCATACTTATATGGAAGCATCCTCAAGAAGTGTAAATTCAATTTTGTTCAAATCATGACCCCTGGGGGTAGGGCGGGGCCACAGTGGAAAATCAAAGTTTAACATAGAAATATATAGGAAAAATCTTCTTTTCAAGAACAGTAAAGCCATGAAGAGTCATACTTATATGGAAGCATCCTCAGGAAGTGTAGATTCAATTTTATTCAAATCATGACCCCCAGGGGTAGGGCGTGACCACAATGGAGGATCAAAGTTTTACATAGAAATATATAGGAAAAATCTTTAATAATCTTCTTCTCAAGAACAGTAAAGCCATGAAGAGTCATATTTATATGGAAGCATCCTCAGGTAGTGTAGTTTCAAGTTTGCTCAAATCATGACCTCCGGGGGTAGGGCGGGGCCACAATGGAGGATCAAAGTTTTACATAGAAATATATAGGAAAAATCTTCTTCTCAAGAACAGCAAAGCCATGATGAGTCAAATTTATATGGAAGCATCCTCAGTTAGTGTAGATTCAATTTTGTCCAAATGATGACCCCCGGGGGTAGGGTGGGGCCCAATGGCGGATCGAAAGTTTTACATAAGAACATAGAGAAAAAAAAATTCTTCTCAAGAACAGAGGAGCTATGTTAGTCTTATTGATATGGAAGCATCTTCAGGTAATGTAGATTCAAGTTTGTTCAAATGATGACCCCTGAGATAGGGAGGAGCTACAATGGGGAATCAAATTTTTACAAAGAAATAAATGGGAAAATTCTTTTAAAATCTTCCCAAGTACAACAAATTCATTTGTTATATTGAAATGGAAGCATCATCAGGTAGTTTAAAATTCAAGCCCCCCCCCCCCCCCCCCCCCGTTTGTGCTGATTTGTGCCTTAGTCTAGCCAATGTGCTCAGGTGAGCGATGTGGCCCATGGGCCTCTTGTTTGTTGATTAGGTTTAATTTAAGCTGCCTACCCCCACTAGATGGCGGTCGGCATCTGCAGCGCCCATGTGGCGATATTGTCATCTTCAATTTAAACATTGAACTGTTTATATTATTGACTTGTGGCTGATGTTGATATATGAGATGGTCGATATTGATATATGTAATTTTGACTTTGAAAATCATATCTTAGTAAATCTAAAGCAAACTTATTTATATAAGTATACAAATAAATTTTAGTGAAATGCGTCCTTAGACGATTGAGATATACACAAAGTGCTACTTTTCCCGTCAGGGAAATTGTTGATATTGGGTGTATGCCAGGTTGCCGACTGACCCACTGTTTTGTTGACCATTCAGGACAATATCTGCCAACTCGATTATAACATTGAAAAGAAATATTTAATTTGATATATTGAATATATTTAGGTCCTTAATAATACATTTCTTTTCACTTTTACATTTTGCAACTTTTCTGCTTATCTTTACTAAAATATCATAAAACTGGTAACTGCATATATTTGAAAATAAGCAAAAAAAAAAAAAAAAAAAAAAAAAAAAAAAAAAAAAAAAAGATCATGAAAGTAAACATTCTGTTTTCATAATTGCATACTACGTACCGATTGCTCTTAAGTACTCAAAATAGACAGAACAAACGATCATTACATATTGTTTTATTGATTTTATTTGACAATTAAAATCAGAAAAAACACATATTAAACATTTATAATTAAGATTTGTTTTAAATGTAGAATAACTCTTTCATGAAAAAATATAGAGGGCATTGGGTAAACAAAAAGATGTACAACTTGTACGAAACCCCTATAACGTTTACACGAAGAAAACGAAACTTTATTTTACATTAGGTGCAGTTTTTAAATTCATCGAAAATTATACATGGAACAAGTTTATATTCATAGTAATTCTGTAACAAAAACCATTGGCACTATTTATTACATTGAACATATTCGTAAACAAGAAAACATTTTGCAGTCAATTAATATATATAGAGAATAGGTTTCTACTTTAATTGCGCTACATAAATTAGGAGAAGACGATAAAGCAAAACATCTATTTTCTTTAATAAAGTATCACAAATTCACAGGGATTATCAAATTAAAGGTATTAAGAAGCAAACCAGATAGACCGGAGTAATAATGCAATTAAATATATGTAAATATGCTATCTTAATTTATTTGTAAAGCATTTGAATATTTCATGGCTAGCAATTTAATAAAAAAAATTTCCCTGTTAACTGTGAATGTTTCTTTTCATTTACAAGTATTACAAAAATGTAATATAACCGTGATAAAAAAATATTCAATAGGTAGAGGAATGTTAATCTATTCAATATCAATACAGAAAGAAAGAATTTAAAAAATAACTAAAATGCAGTACCTACACTTTCTAGAATATATATATATATAAAACTTTAAAAGTGTGCTGGTACGTAAAATCAAAAGTTGGCATAGACTGTATCGCTCTGCAGATATTCCGCTACGAGTTCATGGCAGAATTGATATTCCTCCTAAATAAAAAAGAAAATGAAATTCTTAGTGATTAAACTATTACTATATTTTTTTTTTTAGATCAAATGGAAAATTATCATTGATTGATTCATTAATTTATGTTGTTTTACGTCCCATTCGAGAATTTTTCAATCATATAGGGACGTCACCATACTTATACCGGTGAAGGGCTTCAACTTTTGACTTTTATTCAGTGCCATTGAGCAGGGTTCTTTTTGTGCCATCGCGTACCGTGACAAGGGACTTCGGATTTTAAGTTTTCACCAAAAAGACCCTTGACTTTCACTTCTAATATTGGGTGCTTAGCGAAAGAATGGTCACCACGTATGTTTACGTCGTAGGATTGACGCGGAGCGGAAAACGAAAATCGAACCCGGGTCTCCCGATAAGATATCACTGAAATGACACGGGTATTGTATGGACGGATATTTTCGAATACTCAAAACTGTCTATATTTCGCAAGTACCCATTCCTTGATATTGTTCTCATATGTTTCTAAACTTGCACGATTAAAGTTTTTTTTTTTTTTTTTTTTTTTTTTTTTTTTTTTTTTTTTTTACATCTACCAGCTTTTCCTTACAATTTTAAAAACACTTCGATGATAGAGTAAAGAATGACTATGTGATAAAGATTGCAACTAACAGTATTGATTTTATAATAAAGTAGAGCAACAGCATCGCTGAGCAATAAGATATAAATATATATTTACATAATTTTTTTTAAAAAGTATACAGTCTTAATGCTTTAATATTTTTAAGAAGTTTGATCTAAATGGACATAGATCCAATGAAATATGGAAATAACGAACCGTATTCAAGCTCAAAGCCATTAAAACAGTACAAATCGGGAGTAGAGCAAGAAAGGGCCTCAAAAAACATCAGAGGTGGGATCAGGTGCCATGGAGGAGTGAGCATCCCCTGCCGATCAGTCACACATGCCGTGTGCTCCTTGTCATGATCGGGAAATAACGGAAAATCCGTGGATTTTCAGTTTTTAAATAATAGCCTTACAATTAATATGAAAACCGTCAGCCAACAATTGACTTCATGATAGGTTGTATTTGATGACAAAGTCATTGTATCGACAATAAAACTTGCGAAATGATGACCTCAAACGAGTGTTGAAATATTTGTTTCATCAACTTGTTTGTCAATAGCATGTCTCGTCCTAGAAATTGTTAGTTTAAGAAGTATTTTATTCACGATATACATAGATGTATATACAATGAATATGGATTGAATAGCAGGCAAAAATGGCCTATATTAGTTCTCTCCATTAAAGATCAAGGTACAAATCATGAAATGTTACAATAATATATATCACAACTTTTACAAAGACATGTATTTTAAACTAATTTTTAAGGAGGATACAATGTATAAAATTGAAAAAAGAGGGGAATTGAAAAATAAAGTGGAATAATGAAAGGAAAGAAAAAAAAGGAGGGTGGGGAAAAGGGAAAAGGGGAAAAGGCTCAGAACCATATATGTATATGTTCTTTCAGTCTACATGCTGCATATTAATGCTTATTACATTTTCACATACTAAAATCTTTTAGTATTTTTTTTTTTTTTATAAAATTATGAACTTGATCAAATAGTAACAAATTTTCTTTAAGAGATAGACAATCATAACCAGACAATACAATATTGATATCTCTTGGTATGTCATGATCAATCATATATGTAATCAAAGAGTTCCTGGCAAGATCATAACATGGGCATTGAAAGAAAAAATGAACAGAATCTTCAAAAGAATAACCACATTTTAAGCATTAAGGTTAACCAACTAAGTTATGATTAAACAAATCTGCATTAAGATTACTTGACAAGTTTCTCAACTGACAGTGGAATGTATTTAATTTCCTTTGTCCATAACTGTATAATTTTGATTTTAATTTATAATCAAGATTTTTATTTTGTATAATTTGTTTGAATTTAGCTACACTTGTTGCAGATTTCGTGCTATCTAGCAAATCATTCCATAACTTAATTGTAGATGGTAAAAAACTATTATAATATGCAACTGTTCTAGTGATTGGTATATGATACAAATTATTATTGCGTAAAGCATAATTGTGTGAAACAGGTAGACACTGTTTAACCATATCATGCAAATATTCAGGTGTATAATTATTAAGTATTTTGTACATAAGTGTAAGCTTGTGTTTAGTTCTTCGTTCACTCAGTGTTTCCCATCCTAATTCTTTATATAAATTTTGTTTCGAAGAATTGCGCCTTAGTCCAGTAATGATACGCTTAGCCTCTACTTGTACACTTTCTAATAGAATACTCTGCTCCTGTGTACAATTATCCCACACTACATTGCCATATTCTAAAATAGGTCTAATGAATGCAATATAAATTCTAATAAGGGAATCCCTGTTTAGCTTATATTTGAGTGTGCGAAGAACATTTAAACCTTGGCATGCGTTGTCATATATTTTAGAGATATGTTCAGACCAACCGCCATTGGATTGCATTATAATATAAGTCCAAGGTGACAATGACTTTGTTTCTGTTCTATGTAGTTATGTGTGTAACCAAATGAAATTTGTGGGTGTGATTTATTTGACCGTGTAAAATTAACATTTACAGTTTTATTACGGTTAAAATCTACCATCCATTGTCTGGACCATTGTTTAATTTTTTCCAAGTCATCTGTTAAAGAGAGGGTAGGGGCTAGTGTATCAGAGTCTACAATAACAAACAAAGGAGTATCATCTGCAAATAACCTAATTTGATTTTCTAAATTTACAGTTATGTCATTGATATATACCAAGAAGAGAAATGGTCCTAATACAGAGCCTTGTGGAACACCTGCATTTATACTTTCTCTAACTGGGGAGTACCCTTCTAATAAAACTTTTTGTTCACAATCAGTAAGATAATTTTCAATCCAGTCCAATAAATTTCCTGCAATATCATTTCGCTTAAGCTTGTATAATAATCCCTTATGCCAGACCCTGTCAAATGCCTTTGATATATCACTGAAGACAAATCTTACATCTTTACCTTGGTCTAAACTGCTTATAATAGTATTGTATATCTCTAGAAGTTGATTTACAGTGGAGTCTCCAGGTTGGAGTCCAGACTGATTTTTAGATAGAAGATTATGCTCTAGCATATAGTTGTAAAGATATTTAAATATAATTTTTTCCATAATCTTGCTTAATAAGAATGCTTGGTAAAGCAATTGGTCTGTAGTTTCCTGGCTCTTCAGGACTCCCTTTATTTTTATAGACTGGTGTAATATTTGAGAGTTTCCATATATGAGGAAGCTGTTTATTGGTTAATGATGCATTAAACAATTTTGCTAAGGGTGCAGTAATTGAAGGAATTATATTTTTTAGTATATGTGGAGAAATTTCATCAGGTCCAGGGGGTTTAAATGGGTTGATATTTTTTAATTGATCCTCCACATCTTTGGGTGTCATGTGAATTGTGTTTATTGAATATGGTGGACCTGGCCCTTGTGGAGGTAATTGGGGTTCTGTGCTAACATCAATATGTGATATTTCTGCAAAAGGGTTTATTGAGTATATTAGCTTTATCAATAGGGTGTATAAAAATTCTACCATTGGATTTTATTGGTGAGGGTTTAGTATTTTTTTTTTTTTAGAGAATTTAGTGATAGACTTTACAATTCGCCACCATTTCCCAGGTGGAACTGTTCTATCTAATATTTGCGAAGTAATTTTTTCTTTATAGGCTTGTTTTGATTTACGTACCATACTTATTACTTCATTTCTTAAATGACGGTATTTACTCCACTGGTATTCGTTATTATTTAATCTAGCCTTGTAACGTACTCTATTTCTTTGTCGCATCTTACTTGTCATAAATGGTTTATCTGAAGGTCGAATGGTCACTACTTTTTTGGGTATATTTTTGTCAACATAATAGTTATATACTTTCATAAAGTTGTCATATATGTCATTAATATTGTGAGTATTAAATACCTCCCTGTCCCAATCAACATTTGACAAATCTGTGCATAGTTGTGGGTAGTTAGCATTTGCATAATTTCTTATGTATCTTTTATATGAATGTTGCTTGAAAGTTTTAAAATGCAGATCAACACCAACTGGACTATGTGTGCTACAAAAAGGTGTTAAGACATTTACAGTTTCTATTCTTTCAACAGCATTGGTGATAATAAGATCAATACATGTACCTTTTGATGTTGAGAAATTTGTTGGTTTTGTAACGACATTTGACAAAGAAAAATTTTTCAACATGTGTTTAAATGCATTGTTACCATCAGCTAACATATCAAAGTTAAAATCGCCTGATAAAAATATTGGTAATTCAATATTCAAAGCACTTTCTATGGATAGTGCAAGCTGATTCACAAAATCTGCTTTTGCACTTGGTTGTCTATATATAACACCAACTAAAAATTTATGATTGCCATTTTCAATCTCAACCCATATAATTTCAATATTGGAGGTAAATATATCATCACGTTTCTTAAAACTAAGGTTATTTTTTACATAAAGCATGACACCACCACCGTGCCTGTTACGGTCAAGTCTAACAGGTGCCTGAAATCCATCAAGTTCAATATCATTATCAGTAACAGAATGATCTAAATGGCTTTCAGTAATGGCAACAATATCATAATCACATAACTCATTATATATAAAGTCAATTTTAGGGAGAAGGCTACAAACATTGTTATGTATAATTCTTATATTGGAGTTCAATTTAGAACCTGGATTGGTTTCAATGCCTCCTATAATAAGTAAATAATATATTACAAAATTATAATATAGAAATTGTTCACAGCATGCTCTTGCGTATCAAATCAACTGGGAGACAAAACTACGACGTATTTCTAGCCCCTATCGTTTTATGTAGCCCAGAGATAGATGAATTGAGCATGATATTCCAATATATATATATCAGTAAAATGAAAGCAAACGACATCAGTCAATTAAATTTACAATAAAAGACTGTTTGATTTCGAGGAGTAAAGGAAAAATATGTTTGAAAATGACAATATATTTTTGATTTTAACCCCTTCCCTAAAAGGGGGGGGGGAGGGCAGAAGGCGGGGGGGGGGATCAAATTCACAATTTGAATTTCACTTTATGAATGCTTTAAGTCAAACTTGGTTGAAGCTAGTAAAGCACTTCCAGAGAAGATGCTGAAAATATTCAAAAGTTTACGACCAACGCACGACGCAAACCCGCACAACGAACGAAGAAGGACAAAAATGATGATAATAGGCCATTTGAGTGACTCAGTTGACATAAAAATAAATAATAATAAGAATTATAAGAATAAAGAAGAAAATTTTATCATAAGATTATTAATCAACAGTTACTTACGAAAGTGGAGATAAATTCTGGTCTACGAATTTGTATCAGACGTGCAGCTGTAAAGATATCAACTTCCTTGTCGAGAATAAGTTGCTCTATTGCATTGTAAGCGACACAGAATGGACCACAACGCTGGGCCCCGTCACTACAATGTAAATTTAATTTATATTTAACAAGGATATCGTTACAATCCATCTATAAAACTATTCAGTAGATATGTGCGTTGTTCCCTATCAAAAAATACTATAGTTACATGTAACTACAGTATTCTATATCAATTTTTTTTACTATAGTAAATCAAAGTTTTGACTATTGTAAATCAAAGTAATTTTACTTTGTATTTCAGATTGTTATATTTCATGGTCTCTAGTTCATACATGTACATTTTTTTTTTATATTAAACGAAACTTTCACTTTAATATTCACTTATTATTTCCAAATTTTACTTCACTGTTATCCAGTTTACGAGATTTTAATTTTCGAAATTATTAAAAAAAATTCAGAATAAAATTTCATAGTAAATCAAAATATCGAAGTTTTTACTATAGTTAATTATAGTAAGCTATAATATGAACGATAGTAAATTTTTATTAGGGCTGGTAAAGCAATATATATATATATATATATATATATATATATATATATATATATATATATATATATATATATATATATATATATATATATATATATATATATATATTACAGCAGAGAATATGTGATGAATATAACCAAAACATTATGTCAGATTTATGTAAATCACCACCAAAATGTCTCATTTATCAACACCTTGTTGATAATTTTACCCTTCAGTCTTACTTCTGTAAACCAAATACATTTAAAATATAGTACCAATTACCAGATTAAGATTATCTGCTCATAACTTAATGATTGAACAAGGGAGATATAATAAAACTTTGAGAAATAATAGAACATGTAATCTTTGCCAATCAGGTGACATAGAAGATGAATTCTATTTTGTGTTAAAATGTCCATATTATAATACATTCAGACAAAACTACATTAAAAGCTACTACTCCCGAAGACCAAGTGTTTTGCAAATAGAATGTAAAAGAATTATGTAATCTAGGAAAATTTTTGCAAATAGCGAGTGCAACAAGATCAGTGTATTTAACTAATTTATAAATGGTTGAAAATATTATATGTATTGTACATGTTGGAAGTTAATATCATCATTATATGTATTAAAATGTATGATTGTAAATATTGTCTATGAGATGTATGTCTCTTGACTTTGATAAACTGAAGTTTTGATTATGGTGACAACTTGCGTGACATCTCTTCTGATTTTTAAAAATGTTTATGATACTTTAGGCATATTTCACGAATATATATTTTTTCTTCTTTACATTCTTTTTTAATTTTTATTTATTTATTAATTAAATTTATTTTTGGCCCATTAAAATTGAAATAGCTTATAGTGTTTTGATCAAATATAAGCATAATATTACAGTACCACATCTGTATAGTCTTGTTTATGTGAGTTAAGCAGAGCTTGAAATGGAGGAATATGTCAAAAGTTTTTTGATACGATTACCCGACTATTCGGTCGGAACGTCTCGCGGTTGTCCGATTGGCAATTTGTATTCGATTGCCATCCCTAATATATATATATATATATATATATATATATATATATATATATATATATATATATATATATATATATATATATATATATATATATATATATACACACACACACACACATTTAAAGGAGACTACAATTCCTGAATAACACGTGGGTTTTCATAGGAAGAGAAACTTCTTTTTTCCTTATAGAGGACACCTATTTTATTAAACGGGGATATGCTTGGACCAAATTTGATAGGTTAACCGAATGCACCTTGAAAGGACCAGTGTTCTATTGTTCGAGTGCGTCCTCTCTTCCAGTTTTGTTTCATTGATTGCATCAAGAACTTTCCTACAATCGGCAGTTAAAGCTTCACCTTTCCAGAAGTTGCATTCCAAAACAGAAATACGGGTGTCATGGAATCCCTAAAATAATATGTACGTACAATTTTGTTTACTAAATATTCAATTCTGAAAAAAATCATATTTTCAAAACAAGAAACGAGAGAGAGAGAGAGAGAGAGAGAGAGAGAGAGAGATGTCAATAAATATTATATCACCTTTCCTTGAATAATGATATTAGTTTTGGTGATAGCATCTGAGGGGTGACACTTAGTCATTTTTACTGTAAACTTTCCTACAACTTTGCTATCATTCTTTGATGGAAACCACACCTTTGTCTAAGATAAAAGTACAAGGTATCAATAATTGCAAAGCAATTAACTCAGTCACAAATATCCTTGCAAAAACTTTATAGTCATACCGAGGGTAAATCTTCAAGAGGTCCCAGAAAAATAACAGTGCCAGCTCTGCTTTCTTTCACAAGATACAGGAAATCTTCACACTGGTTCTTAAGTGGGTACTGGGCACTGATGAGTCCATCCGGTCTCGTGAACGACTTTAAGGAAAACAAAACAATAATGAATTCAAGTTTATATGTGATATACATGTATTGTACTAAAAAATATTTGTCTTTGTATAATTGAAACAACATAAAAAATCAGATTTGCAAACCTGCAGAATGACAGCGTTGTAGTAAACTGGTCTATCGTTGTCAGAAAGCACACAGCATCTATATTTCTCAACTATATGGAGATTATTTTCAAAGCAATTAAATTTTGACCACTGCGGGTAATTATATTTAATATTTAGACATTAATATGATATGATTTATAATAAACCTTAAGTTTTTCTACACACTTGCTATTGTATAGAACAAAAAGACAGACGAAATCATTTCCTTACTTGGCATAACATCGGGTGTGAAATTAGATGCTGCATTGTTATGCGCTGATTTTTCATTTGTATCGTATTGTGTTTTAAGTGAAATTAGCTCCTGTTGAAAGAAAAAAAAATAATTAGATGCTTTTTCTATTTCTATTCAATTTACAATAAGCGCACTACCCGTACGTTTAAAAACTGGTTGCTTTAATTTAAAATCAACATTTTAAAAAATTCTTTAATGTGGTGCATTTAATTTTTACCCAGACAATATTACATAGTTATGTAATATTGAAAATGTACAAAACCTTTATCACTGTAACCCAAAAAGAAAAAAAAAACAAACAAACAAAAACAAAAAAACTTCTTAAGTCTATACACATACATATGACTTGGCGTGACAATGATACAATGAATACATCTGCCATAATGATTTATGATAATTAAAGTAAATACTTAAAAACCTTAAAATCATCAGTCTCTTGCGCTTTCTTGATTCCATTTTCTTCAAATGTATTATTTAATGCCTGGTACTGCGACAGGAATGATTTAGCAGTAACTGGACGCAGATGTCCTCTGAATGATTCAGATAAAGCAGTGTAAATCATTTTGTATTGATCCTACAACGAGATGTTTTCAACTGTACATAAGATTTGTATGGACAATAATGAAAGTATGATATATTTAATTATATATGTGGAAAGCAAAAAATATTTTGACTAAGGAATAAAGAATTTTCTCTCTGAATAAGATAGTTATGGTTTTAATCATCATATTTCTGAATTATTATGTCAAAAGTATTAAAATTTATCAGAATAATATCCACATGCCTCTCCTTGTACCATGTTCACTCTGTCATTACGCATTTGTGAGACATATTCCGACACATTAACAGGTCCTGAACTCAAACCGTCCCGGTAGAGGGCGTCCAAAGCTATGAAGGTACCCGTTCTACCCAAGCCAGCACTAAAAGCAATATTATCAGGCTTTTTAATATCAAAATCATTTCTTTTCAAAAAAAAAAAAAAAAAAAAAAAAAAAAAAAAAAAAAAAAAGGTCGTTGCAGATTTTCCTACTGTGTAATTAGTCATCGACATACTTGTTAAAAACATCCTAATTCAACATACAAGAACAATTAAGTTGATATTACTTGATTTTTTTCATTGACAGCATCTATGCAGTCTCTGAAAATTAGGTTTTATAACAATCTTTTGGAATATCCATTTGTACTTGCTATGCTCCGTTATTAGCCTGTTTTTTTTTTGTAATCTGATGAAGCAGAATTTATTCAAAAACTTTTGCATGAAAAGAAGAAATCTCTGACTTTGGCCTTTGATTTGGACATTTAGATATATGGACGACGTGTCATCAATTAACAACATTCATTTTCATTCCTACATTGATTTTATATCTCCCTTTGAACTCGAAATAAAAGACATTAAAGAGTCTGACATATTTGTTTCATTTTTAGATATTTTACTAGAGAAAAATATTTATGGTAAACCAAAAAATAAATTTTATGAAAAATGGATGACTTAACTTTTCTGGCATCAATTTTTCTTGTTTATATAGCAACAAACTATATCACCTGCTAATGTGCTTTGTGTCTAACTGTTGATTCGATATCCAAGAGCATGTTATGTGAACGAATAGTTTTTGAAACGAGTCAAGATACAGACAAACAAGTTGAATATACGGGAATCTAAAATCTCGTTCTAAGTAATCATTTCGCAAATCCAATGGTGGATACAAGGACCCTTCTTTCAAATACAATATGTTCTTATGTCGAGTGTTGATTGAAGTCTTTTATAGGCCATTATTTCAAACTGAATTGACTACGGATTTCTCCAATTACCCATTCATGACATTGAGCACATGGCGGATATTACCGGTTTACAGAAGATGCTTACTTCTCTTTGGCACCTGATCCCATCTCAAATAGTTTAAGAGCTCTGTGTTTGCTCTCCTCGCTATTTGTAATGTTTATAATTGTCTTTTGAGCCCGATTACTCCTTATATTTATATTTCATTAATCACATGTAAACAGTTGTATACATTTATCTTTTTTTCTATTTTTTTTACAAAAAGGCTTTAAGAAAGACATCAATTTCGCAAAAAGTTTCGAAAGTCATATATCTCAGAAATGATTTTTCATGTCCAGATCTTAAACTAACTATACTCTGTGGCCAGTCCGATACAAATGTTGAACATGATCCAAAAACTCTTATTTACAACTCATAGCAAGTTATGTCAAATTCGAGGAATAATTCATGTGCAACCCTCGTTATTCAGATTTTTCTTACCTGCAGTGGACCACCATTTTATCTTTATCTGAAGACTTTGGAAAAGCTCGCATAACATGCCGGTGGAACACGACAAGATTTATAGCTTCAGGGACCCCGTGGTCTGGCCATTGGGTGTAATGAAACATCAATACATCTTGTTCCTCTTTACCCTAGATAAGATGAAGATCTGGATGGAGAGAGAGAGAGAGAGAGAGAGAGAGAGAGAGAGAGAGAGAGAGAGAGAGAGAGAGAGAGAGAATTTGATGCACCTAATTAAAAAAGATTTTAGATAGGTTGATATGAGAAAATGATATTTTAATTTAGCAAACTCTGAAGTTCTTGTTTCTGCCCCTTTCATCTTACAATCGTATCTTGTAATCTCAGATGTCTTTTAATGTAGTTTGAGTACGCCTTTTCCTCTTGGTTCCGAATAGCAAAATTTCCACTTTGGATTTTATCATTGCAATTTGGCCAGTATTGTGCACACTTTCCCTAAAGAAAAAAAAATGCTTGTAAACAAACATTTTCAAAAGGTAAATCAAGCAAACCTCAGTTGTAAAGAAAAGAGATTTCTTCGTATTTGTTTAAGTGCATAATAATTTCACATCCACTTACCTGCTTTCCTTCTTTCAGATTGGTCAGACATACAATAATTTTGACTGATTCCTGCCAAATCATTGTCCAAAAATCAGGCACTGTTCCCTTTTTTGGACCTAATGAAATACACCTTCATATGACAAAATGGTAAATATTGTGTATTTTACCCTTAATCATTATATATGAGAAACGCAATTAAAATTGTATCCAAGAAGTTGAAAATGTAGAATATACTAATGCCTTTTTCAATATAACGATTAATTAAGATATTATTTTGAAAACTGGTTAAGAAGGACAGAAGAAACAATTTCACAGATTACATTAGGGAAATATTTGACTATATTTAGATTCCAATTGTTTACCATTACAGTAAATAAACGACTAATACCTTGAGTAGCTATGTATCTCTGCTCCCCTGATATGTCCTTTGATAAAATATAATTTAAAACACAATTAACAGGTCAACAAAGTATTATTTGAAATTGTGACTTAGCTTAGAAAAATCTTGAAACTCCCTATGATGTTTGTAAACATGAAACTAACATATAAAAGCATACATTTTTAAACATAAAGTATCATCTTCATGCAAGGTGACTGTTTAAGAAATTTTACCTTTGATTAGATACAAAAAATTACATGTATATATTGTAAATTAATTATAATACTTATCCAACATTAATATATTTTTCATTTAATAGTTAACATATTTTACATTTAAGTTAAAATATTTTTCTTTGAATATCAAGGAAAGTAAAATATTAAAAAAAACAAAAAACCTTAATATAGTTGGCGTTTATGTAATCAGATCTCTGGTTTGCCATTCGAAGCTTAACTCTGGAATGGTCGTCTGTTACGAAAAAGACAAAGAATAGAAAAACAGCGCGGGTATGTTAAAGCTAAACCCAGATATTCTACAGACATCATAATAAGCTATATGACGTGAACTTAAGAGAAAACGATTTCTAAATATTTATAATTAAGGATTCATTTTTAGTCCTAGAAATAAATAGGAACATGCAAAACATGAACTAAATCTTGTCATTCTTAGATGTTATTAATATCGAAGTATTTGTCACGAGGGCTAAATGCCTTACCCATGAGGTCATAAGTGTTGATCGGATACTTGCCAAATGAAAATGAACCGAAATAGAATTCATGTAAACAAATAGATGAAATGAGAGCCAAATACCATATTCAGTGATTATCACATGCGATTCATCAGGAATTAAAGATTGAGAATCAGGTATGCAGATATATTTTCATCAATTGTTTCTTATAACGAAGGCTGGCAGTGTGTTGAAATCGCGATTAGCCTTTTCCCTGTCATTCTTAACAACAAAGATGCAAAGTTTTACACTACACCACATACCTTGAAACATAGTTTTTGTTATTATCGAGAGCTTGGATTCTATAGCACTTCGAAAGTACTGCTAAAATCGTGTGGTGAACATAAATTGATTAAAATTGATCGAACATTTTGCAGAGATGTATTTCTTTTTTTTCTTCCTCATTATTACAAAGTTAACAATTTGAATGAATTATTCCCGGGGTAGTGCTGAACCTTTCACTTTTACCAAGCATATTTTCATTTATAGACGTCACATAATGACGTCATAGTGGAGTACAGCTTTTAGTCTAAGACTCATTGACGTCTTTACAATGGATAATAATAGTAAATGTTTTATCATTGATTTTTCTGATTTATCAATATAACATTTTACAAAAAAGTGTGTAATTGCCGAATAATAACCTGGCTGCTGCCTTAACATACCTGTGAAAAAATTATGATATACAAACGCTGATGCATTTCCCAGAATAGTTGAATTGGATTTGATTTGCTTTACTTTATATCAGCTGAAATTCCATTCCTAGCAATTTTTTTTCGTAGTATAGTAAATACTGAATACTTTTAAGACTTTAAGCTTCAACAATATAGTTGAATTCGCGTTCATTAAAGAATGCACTTTTGTAACATTTCTATTTCTTTCAATTCCCATTTACATATCTTTAAAGGGTGCTTACACGGAAATGTTGTTTTGTATCTGTTTTTAGTTTTGTTTTCATCCCTTTTTCCAGCATCACATGAATGTAATTCACCATTTGGAATTTGCTGAAAAATAAATTAGGATAACCCTAACACAAAAGAACTATAGTTAACTATAGTTTACTATAATTAACTAAAGTATCAAAGTTTTTTCACTATAGTAAATCAAAATATTTTTTCTATGGATTTCAGATCGTTATATTTTTTGTTCTTCAATTCATACATGCACATTTTTTTTAAATATTAAATTGAAATATTATTTGTATATTCACAGATTATTTCCAAGTTTTACATTACTGTTTTCGAATTTTAGAGATTTTAAGCTTTGAAATCTCAAAAAATGTTCCAGAGATTCATAGTAAATCAAAGTATCAAAGTTTTCACTATAGTTAACTATAGTAAACTATAGTTAACTATAGTAAATTTTTGTTAGGGAAAATAAATATATCACTAATAAAATATCAGATTTCCATGTGCCTGATATACTTTTGAAGAAAAAGTTGGAAAAAAACTACAAAATGCTATCGTATATAACAAAAAATAAATCAACCTGTTACCACTATGGATAAAATATGAATTTCAATTCCAGTATTATGTTCGTCGTGGTTGAATTTTATATTTCCTAATGTATTATGTAACTGATCCTATAAAGGCATGAAGTGAGTTATAAAAGTACTATTTTAAATTTCATGATCATTTGTTTCCGTACATGTATGAGAAATACTTCATTTTTAATTTTAAATTTTCTATTAGCAAATCTAATTATATTGATTGATTGATTGATTGAATGTTGTTTTATGTCCCGTTCGGGATTTTTCACTCATATAGAGACGTCACCATATACCGGTGAAGGGCTTCAAATTTAGACTTTTACTCGGCACTCAAGGCCATTGAGCAGTGAGAGTTCTTTATCGTGCCAACGCCAAACATTACACGGGCCCACGGGTTTTAAGGTCTTATCTTAAATACCCACAGCTTTCTCTTCACGGTGCCGAATGCCTGGAGAAGGAACAGTTGCTACCTAATTTTTTATCGACTAAGGTCAGTCGCGGCAGTGATTCGAGCACAAGACATTCCGGTCACGGAGCGAGCGTTCTACCGACTGAGCTACCGTGACGGTATCAAGTCTAATATTAAGGGCACAGCAGATTTAGGTAAGCACATTGTAGATACATTGAGATTAAGGTAAGCACGACATGAATTTTGAAGCATACACAACTTAAATGTTACGTCATCGGTGAAGTATTTGGCTCAGATAGCCACAGTTTATGCAGCTATAGATTGTCTTTTGTACATACATGTATTTATAGTTCATCTAGGTTGTTCGTAGCCTCATACCTCGTACTCTGCTTTGAAACTTGAACCATTATCCTCACATATTTCTATTTTGGTCTTCAGAAGCTCCTTTATAGAAATTCTCTCCTTTGAGTTCCTCGTTTCTGCCTCTCCATGTAACTGAGCAGCATCATTTTCGTACGAATGGATTTCTTTATGTTCTGTTTGCATCAAAAGTATATCAAATATTTTATATGATTATAATTCCAGTTATCTATTTTCTAGACTCTGTTATAGGTGCTTCTAAGATTACAGTATAATTTTTGGTAGTATTTGGAACTTTCACAAGCATTAAATTATCAAAATTAAGCAATCTATATTTCAGTTTTTAGTTCCACATCTTGAAACGTATTTGAGTTATTGTCGTTCCGGACTAGGCAAAGATTGAAATAAGAAAATTAATCTAACCACTTACCTTTTAACTCAGTCATGGAAGTGATGAGCTTAGAATGCCCAATGTAATGTTTATATTTGCGACGTCTAGATTTTCTGCAGAATAAAGCAATGAAGTACATGATGGAGTTTGTTCTATAAAATTCTAAAAGGTATACACAAACGTTTACTCTGCATTTTTAGAAAAACTTTGTAACAAGTGTCGATGAAATGCATAAAGGTATTAAATATCCAGAAGTCATTGAAACAATAAATTGTAAAATATTTACCGTTTGGACATAATCACAACTGAGATGATTATCAGAATAAGAACAGCAACAACCACACCGAGGATTATAGGTAGAATATCATTTTCTGGTTTTCCTTTTGTTGGTTCTATAATAATAATTCATTTGTGTAGTTAAAAGTTATCATTTTCAATAATGACATTTGACTAATTTTTTCTTAAAGATATAGAATATAAATTGGCACATGAAGCTTCGAAATAATACATTAAACTAATGAGAATCATTTAATCAGAAATATTAAGGAAGTACTAAAATGTTTGTTTTCATCATTGATATAGGAAGAATAAATTTTTGAATGATTTTAACATAATCCCTTTTTTTAAAGTTATGAATTATAAATTGAATCATTGGTATTGTTTTAATCCACATACCAAGTCTTACAGAATCATAACAAATATATGCAGGAGAGTTTAAAAACATAATACTATTATTGTAGTTATAAAAGCAAAATTGCATATCGACATCAGATAAGGAATTGTTTTCTACTTTTGTACAAAGTTGATTGAAATCTAATCAAAACTAGCTATGGGAGAGATGTTTAGAAGGACAGCCAGACGCACCAAAGAAATTTTATTGTATAAAAATGAAAACAACAACAACAATTTTTGAGCACTGTGAGTTGAATACTTTTATGAATAAGGTTTTGATTTGAACATTAAGTAATCACAAGTTGATGAGTGTGATGAGTACTAAATAATCTCACCAGAAGAAAAAGATAATAATGTATTTATATAAGATTATCAAACATAGTACCAAAGTAATATATACATTTGCAAATATTTTCTTTAGATGAACCTATTGAAGAGAAAACGTTTAATTCTGTATGAACTTACTACGGGGTCACAAAACATTTATAATATATAAGGTTTAGATTTTTTTAACACTAAGCAATTACAGGTTAATGGGTGTGATACGTACTGAATACACTCATCTGGAGAAAGGGATAATACTATATTTATATAAGGTTGTCAAACACTGTAACAAAGTATTTTAAAAATACTATTCGAAGTGTCATCTTTTAAGTGTCAACCAAAAATTATGTAAAAATGTGCCACCACAGAAACAATCATATGCTAACTGCTAAAAATATAAAAAGATTAAGAGTAACATAGGAAAAAGTATTAGAATCAAGTTGTTCTTTTATATAAGTAGAAAAAAATGAAAGTATTTACGTATAATCAGTGTATTGCAGGTTTCACCCTTATAGTTACTTTGGCAACCATCTGGACATGTTCCATTGACATTGTCACATATTTTGTCATTGCGACAATGGCTACTGCAGTTTTTATGGCAATTTTCTCCAAAAGTGCCATTTGAACATTCTTCATTTATTTAAGAAATAAAAAAAAAATGAAATACATTAGAAACTTTAGAATATCAGTTCTTTTTATCGCAACATTTTTCGAATGTTATTTCCAGAATAAAATCAAAAGTATTTCCTTGTAAAGCAAACCTGTAGAACAGTCTTCTCCTTTCCATCCATTCTTGCATTTACAAGTTCCATATACATGATGACACTTGGAATCTTTACAATTCTCGGGACAAATATTCGAACAATTTTGACCATATAAACCAGGACTGCATGCTTATTGATAGGAAAAAAAAACCAAGAGATAAATCAGAAAAGATAAATGAATATATCTACATGTAAAAAACACAAAATGTATGTTTATTTCCGAATTCTAAAGATATGCTCGTTCATTAATCAAGGAATATTGACAAATCGATAATTATGTAGTCAAAACAAACTAAACGATTAAGTTGCAATCAGAATGAAAACAAATGCAAATCAGAAGAATGTGTTTAATCCCTGTCTAAGTATTTAGTCTTCAAAGGCATTAAAGACTTAAAAAACTGCATAGAGGATTAAGTGTGATGTTAAAGTTAACTATACACCGTAGATTCCTTATTTAACGCGAGTACTTTTTATTGCGACTTGACTCGTTGACGTAAAATAGCGAAAAGATGAATTCGCGAGAGGCGCAACTCGCGAAATTACGCTATTATACATTCCTCGCGTATATTTAGGAATCTTCAGTAATGAATTTTAAAGTATACAATAATCGTTTTGTTTAACATATTTATTATTGATAATTATTTGTTATAAATCAAACACCACTATAAAAGATAAATATAATAGCCGTAAATTCCAACCCCTTAAAAGCGATAGATCAACTCATAATAGAGGTCTTTTATCACAGTATAGATCTGCACCTCTTTATCTTCGTGTACATCGTGCATTACATTTACCAAGGTTAAGCAGTTTCATACGTACAAGAATTACATTTCTGTCCATGATACCCTGGATTGCATCCATTTTTACAATGTCCGTCAACAAAGTTACAGGTTTCATTATTGGCACAATGTCCACTACAACTTTGTCTGCAGTCTCCGTACGTCCCATGGGTACATTCTATACATTGAAAGTAGATAAAAATACATGATAGATTCCTTATTTCACTTATACTTTCATTGATACTTTGATTTTCAACAACCTTTGACTTTTTCTACTTCATGTATATTTTTTTCAAAGTTTTTTTTTTAAAATTCAGATTTCAGTTACATGTATTTCACCTGCTCCTATGTAATCTGACAAAGTATTCCATTCCCTTTCAATTAGAAGAAAAAGCTTGATTTGAAATTTTCTTATAAATCAGTCGAAGATAACATTTATAAAATTCAATTAATCACGCTAATAAAATCAAAAACCAATTCTTTTGTTATCTACTTATAAATTTACACCTCGAGGACATATTTTGGTTACTGTAAACTTTGATTGACGTGAATAGGTAATTTGCAGTAAGTATACGAGAAAAAAAAACCTTTTTTTCATACGTTTTCCTAAGGGAATCATTACTTTATACAATGTACATATAATATAATTATTCATCTTTCCAACATTATACTTGTAATGCTTAATAAAATCCTCAAAAACGAATTGTGATTCTGCTACTCATATGCGGGTAAAAGCTACAGGCGTGAATGTCAAAGCAAGTAAATATTTACAATAACGAAAGGATTTGATTATCGATGATAATCAAAAAAATTAAGTAGAATAGCTAGGAGCAAACTTACTTTCTTTACAGTAGAATCCTTGGAAGCCTGCTTTGCAACCATGCAAACAACTTCCGTTCACATTGTTACAAGTCTCATTATTCACACAGTTCCCACTGCAGTTGCTCTTACAATTTGGACCAAAGGTACCGACAGGGCATTCTAATCATGATAGAGAAAAGAAAGTAATAGACTTCGTACTGTATTAACAAAAGTTCAGAAGCAGAAATCTTCCCTATATATTTTGGTAGTATTTTTTATGTAATAAACGATTTATAGCTCAATTCACGATAGATTAATTATAAGCAAAGGCGTTAACTTTTTACCTTTATCACAGTTCTCTCTAGTATACCCAGGGTTACAGCCTTCATCACATACTCCAGTACTTGTATTACAAGGAGTCCCATACAGACAGTTACCACTACAGTTCTGTGAGCATCCTGCCCCATAAGTTCCTGAATTACAAACTGGAAAACAAGAAATTTAAGATAAATCTAACATTAACTTTAAAGTGCACATTTAAGGACATACGCAACGTACCTTACCTACTGATAATTTTTCAAGATATTCTTAATTTCAGATTAAAGTGCCATCAGATGTTCGTTGACAAAAAATCAGCATGCATTACCAGGGGTTTTGAAAAGATATCAATTAATGAAAATTCTTGTATAATACAAAGAAAAATATACAAAAATTACTAAACATATATTCTAGATGTTTTGTTTATCCAAACTTGTTTTAGAGGAAGTGTACAGCAGCATATATAGACATTAAAAAGTAGTGCACAGTTCCTTTAAGCATTGGAACTCTTCAACTCCAGGGAAAAAGACAATAAAGTTCAAACTACGTTGTGTATGGCCTTAACGGTGTGCATGCTTTAGTTTTTTCGGCTACATATTAACTAGGAAATATAAAAAGTTTAGAAATATACCTTGATCACATCTCTGGCCGGTATACCCAATAGTGCAACCGTCTGCACAATTTCCCGACATTTTATTAAAACAGTTACCACTACAATTCTTGGAACAATTAGCACCATATGTACCCGGGGTACAGTCTAAATAAGTTGATTGATTGTATTTTGTTTAACGTCCCTCTCGAGAATTTTTCACTCATATGGAGACGCCACCACTTGCCGGTGGAGAGCTGCAAATTTTGTCCTATACTCGGCACTTAAGGCCATTGAGCAGTGAGGGATCTTTTTCGTGCCAGCACCTACTGCGACACGGGACCTCGGTTTATACGGTCTCATCCGAAGGACCGGTCTCCACGTCCCACAGTGGGATTCAACCCGCGACGTAAGGATCAACTCCTTACTTCGCGACTCTAGAGCAGACGCTCTAACCACTGCGCCACGCGGGCGACCAGTCTGAATAAGAAAAGTAACTCAATATTAATTTTGATGTACATGTACATGCATGGAATATATGATGTATTTCCTTATCCACTCAAAATTGATTACACTTAACAGAAATAAGAAAAATACATGTCTTTGAATATATTTTGAATAACAGCATCATTTTGCTACCTAAAGCTGTATTACATACTCCTATAAACTAGGGAATTTATCTAGTTGTATTACCTTCATCGCATTTATCGTTCTTGTATCCAGGAAGACATCCTTCGTCACAAATCCCTGTAAATTCATTGCAGGTGGTTCCCTTCAGACAGTTACCACTACAATTCTTAGAACAATCTGGTCCATATGTCCCCGGCATACACGCTAAAAGATATTCAGCATAATAATATGCAAAACAAATTCATCTTATGGCATTTTGTATATATATTCTTATTTCCTTACGACATGTACCATTAATCTTTGTGTTAAAAATGGTATTATATCAACAAAAACCTTACGTATGTCTTTATCATCTGCACGTCTTAAATTTTTGGAAAAAGCAGTGACAATCTTTCAATTTAAAAATCAGAGTAAGGGGTAATTATTCTACATGTTTTGAGAATTCTGGACTACTTTGGTTGTCACAGATTAAAAAACACGTCCAGATTTTTATCTAACGTTCAAAATCACTCCTATAGCTCTTTATTTGAAGCTTATTTATATCAGTAGAACTTTATTAACATCCATGAATTTGGAATTTGTATTGATATGAAATCTATTTCAGGTTGAGGCAACTGAAATCGAAAGTGCTAAGCAAACAATTAGAATCTTACTTATGTTACAACGTCCACCAGTCCAGCCATCGGAACAACCATGGTCACAGTTTCCAGTTGTATGATTACAGGTCTTATTGTCCAGACAGTTGTTTGAACAAATACCTCTACATTCAAGTCCATAATATCCATCCACACATGCTTATGTTGAAATAAAATCATTATTCATTTATTCAACTTTAAAGCTTCATTAAAAATGCTAGTATATGTATAGAAATCTTAGCTAATTTAAATAAATATCAAATTAACAGGATTTAAGCAAAACTAAAACTGTAAAAATAATACGACCTATATTTTAGCGTTTTTGACGGTGTGGAATGAAAATTTAGCAACCAAATACAAAATACTACATGTAATTTAAAGTTATTCCTGAGGGATGGAAAGGAAATATATTAATTTTTTACATCTTTCACGTGTGTATTTCAGAAAATAATAGTACTTTTCGTGGTCAATTGTTTGGTTTAAGAATCAAAAGGGGGGGGGGGGTAACTAAGGACATCCAATTTCAAAGGAAATACAGCCCCCTTACTATGGAAAAGGCAGATCTAGCTCCATTCCCCCTCCCCCTTTTTCATTTTTTTTTCTGTTTTTGAAAATATTTATTTGAACATATTTCAGTCTAAATGTAGAGATACTTAGTGATTAAGAGGCCATGCCAGTAAGCATTGAGCTTCACACTATATAACCATGGAAAGTGGAAAAAAATATTTCTGGCTAAAATTTTGTGAACATGATGCATATGAATAGTCTTTCAAAAAATATATCTACCCAGACATATGACTTCTTGTTTCCATGGCAACCAGAGCATTTGTTATATTTTATTACAGAAATATTTGGACTGGACTTTCCTGTTAAAATTCATGTATTTTACATTCAAACTCCATGTATAATAAATCTATTTTTCTTTTTTATAAGAACAATTTAACTTTTAATTTTTATTAGATTTTACCTGTAGAATTATATCGCATGAAGAGCTATGTTGTTTGCAAAATCCAGACACCTTTAGAAAATTCTACATAAATCTGTAGAATGAGAATGCACTGTTCAATAGATTAAATAAACAAAATAGGGTAGACACTAAAGACTTTAAGAAAAATATCTGAATGAATTGTTGTAAAACTTTGTTGGAAAACAATTGGATTACTTCCCTTGCATTAGCTAACAAAAGAGACCGGAAAGAATGAAGCAGACAACAATGGAGGAATTGCGGGAGAAAAAGGAAAACTTCAAACATGGAGTAGTAGGACAAAAACATATAGTGTTATATTGAATATGTATTTTTCATGTATATTCTTGGATAAACTTTTGATAACTAAAGTTTCTCTTTAAACCAAAATTAAAGATTAGGAAGGTACTCACAGATTCATTTCTCTTTCCTATAACCAAGTCCAGTAAAATCAGTACATTTAGCTACGTAGCTAGAATTACCTACCGTAGCTTTATTTAGCTACCTCAGGTAGCTTTATTTAGCTATTTCAATGCAACTTTTCACAATTTTGCTTTTTATATAAAAAAGACAAAAGTCGCAAGTATATGGCTACTAATATTTATACTAGAGATTTAAAAAAAAAAGCAATCGAAAGCACAGATAGTTTAAACATTACTGCGTTTGAACACTTTTAAGCTAAAGATGTATTCTCATTGTTAGAGTAACTGTACACCACTTTGTGTGCGGTGAGGCATGGATAATTATGATTACTTCACATTGTGCTAAATCAATCCAGAACTGGTCTTCTTTGTTATTTCATTCAAGATGTAACTGTTTGGTCACAAATTAACTGTTGTATATAGCCCCAAAACATTTAGAACTTTTATTGCAATTGCGCAGAAAAAGACACGCTTTCAAGAGTGTTTTTTTCATACATTGTTTTCAGATGAGTTTAAAGCTGAAAATTATCACTGCATCAATGTGTGATTTTCTGCACATCCCAAGAAAAATGCTAATTTAAGAAATAAGTATTTGGTAGGTAAATAAAGCTACTTCAGGTAGGTAAATAAAGATATGTAGGTTATAATGTTTGCTTTTATTATAGATTCTCTCAGAAGAGGTAAAAAAAAACTACAATAAACAAAACAAAAACAAAACATTACTATGAGACACAAACACAAATTCTAAAATAAGAACTTTGAGACAATGGACAATTATAATGGCGGGAAAATATTGTAGCTGTAGATTGTTTACATGTTATATGCTGTGTAATGGACAATCTGTATATTTTATTCTGAATTCCAATTTTGTCCGTAAGTTTCGATTTCTGTGCATTCCAATTTTATCAGAATGATACGTTTATCAAATGTTGAGAAATGCACGAGCGCCATATTTAGATCAGTGAGTGCAGTAGTTTGTTGTGTTCTAGCTGAAAGTACCAGACATACATCACGGTAATTATATATTAATTATTTATTACATACTGTCTGCTATATGCATTTACTTGTTACATTGAATTTGAATAGGAATTTGTCATATTACCACTATTTGCAAAGTTTAATATAAGGAGCACTTTTTGTGTCATGATTTATATTGATAAAAGGTTACATTATATGTATATTCTGTATTGAGTACAAGTATTTATTATATTTACATTTTATTTGTAGTCAATCTATGTCAGAAACAGGGACTTTGTCATACTATGTCAGAAACAGGGACTTTGTCATACTATGTCAGAGACAAGGACTTTGTTATACAATGCCAGAATGTGTCCATGTTAATAAAGACATTGAATTGAACCTGTGTCGTTGATACAAGAGAACACTACAACATTGGCGTGATTCCATGAGCGATCCAGGTTATGAGCATAATGCCCGTTACAGAAGAAACAGGATCGGGAACACGAAACAGAAAATTAACAGACAAAGGAAAGGTATATAAACAAGAACAATACAATAAAACATTTAGAACACTGAAGATAACAAGTGGTGTAAAAAGACAGATTATTTCTGATAATGAATCTCCAGAAACAGTAAGAAGAAAGTATGCTGCATGGCTTGAGGATTATGAGCGTTTTCTTGTTATGTTTGATGAACTTATCTCTCAATTGACTGACAAGGAGGAGAGAGAAGAATTGCTTAAGACTCATTATGATTACGATGTGTTTCTCATGAACTTTACGAAAGAAATAGAGGAGTTCTTTTCCTACCACCAGAGTGTAAAGGAGGAATCACAAGTAGAAGCAACAAAAGAAACTGTCAGAAGCTTGAACTCCAAGTCTCGCACATCTATAGCTACAAGTATATCATCTAAACGCCTTGAAGAAGAACAAAGAGTAGCTGAGTTAGAAGCTCGCAAAGCAGCACTTTCTCATAAGAAGGAGTTAGAGATAGCGAAAGTCAAACTAAAACTTGAAGAAGAAGAGTTGGACTTGAATACAAATATTGCTATTGCGAATGCTAAAACAGAAGTTCTTCAGAAATATGAAAGGTGTAGTGATGCTGATTTTCATGATGATGTTTCTAACATTGATATAGTGAATCCTAGAACATTAGCACCAAAACCAACGCCAAGAACGCCTTTGTTTCATAGTGAGTTTGCATCAGTACCGTCCTTGTTTGAGAGGCCTCTGAATCCAAACGCAGAGACATTCATACCTAAACGTGAAGAAATTCCACCATTTGACCTTCATTGCCTTGATGAAACAAAACTACAGACCTCTGAATCTGATGCTATGCAGTGCGTTGTACATACCTCCGGAAACCTGTACCAGAGATAAAAAAAATTGGAGGCAATCCATTAGAATTTAGACGTTTCGTCAGACAGTTTAATACCAAAGTAGTGATGAATACTAAAGACAATGATGAACGAATGAATTATCTTGAGCAAATGACTTTTGGGGAAGCATACAGAGTAGTGTCTGGATTTAGTCATATGTCAGGAGACAGAGCCTACAAAGCAGCTATGAATCAACTTGAAGAGCGGTATGGAGACAGTGAGGTAATTGCAACAGCATTCATAAAGAAGGCATTAGACTGGCCAGCAGTGAAGGATGCAAAGATGCTAGATGAGTTCTCCTTGTTCCTTGTGGAGTGTCAGAATGCAGCTGAAAGCATCGATAGTGTTTCTGTCTTAAATTATTCAGACAACATAAAGAGACTTATGACAAAACTTCCTGTGTATATGCATGATAGGTGGAGAAATGTTGTACTGAAAACTAAAGAAGCCAAGAAGACAGTGAAGTTTAAAGATTTTGTAAGTTTTGTGAAAACAGAAGCTAAGAAATCGAATGATCCTACTTATGGTAATGCATCTATTGGTGGAAATTCCAGAAATCAAGATCGTAACCAGAAGAGAGCTGTTGCGTCTACTGATGTTACAAGTGAAGTACAAGACTTTAATCTACGAGAACAGAAATGTGAATTCTGTGAAAGTAGAACCCATGCACTGAATGACTGCAAGAAGTTTGTAACCAAAGGACTTCAAGACAGATACAACTTCCTGCGAAATAATGGATAGTGTTATGGATGTCTTAGGAAAGGCCACATAACTAAAAAATGCAAAGCAAGACTTAAGTGTTCCATATGTAGCAGGTGTCACCCTACGATCCTACATGATCCTGCGAAATGTGTATCAAAACATACAGATGAAGACAAAGAAAACATTAATCCTATGTCAACAGATGTCAAAACTACATGCAAGTTCTCCAAACCTCACATCACTGCCTTTAGTGATAAATGGGCCGGAGAAACAACCTGTGCTATGGCAATAATTCCAGTGAGAGTAAAACTGAAAAATAAACCGTATAGCATAGAAACTTATGCATTCTTTGACTCTGGCAGCAGTGTGTCATTTTGTACAGAAAACATAATGCATAGGCTTGGAGCAAATGGCAAGAAGAAACAAATCACTATAAAGACAATGGGGAATTCTCAGAGATTGAACACATATGTTATCAGTGGTTTGCAAGTGTGTGGACTTTCAATGGAACATGTGATTGATCTACCGAATGTGTATACAAAGGAACATATGCCTGTATCAAAAGAACACATTCCAACGCAGCAAGAGTTAAAACAGTGGCCACATCTCTCAACAATTCAAACATCAGAAATAGATGCAGAAATTGGAATTATGATTGGAAATAACATTCCAGATGCCTATTCTCCATTCGAAGTAATTGCTGGGCCAAGTGGTTCTCCCCACGCAACAAGGACACGACTAGGATGGATAGTATGGAATGTCATTAGAGAAAATGCATCAGATACATATGACGTAAACAAAGTAGCTATAGAAGATGCTCAGGAAAGAGACAGAAACTTAGAAAAGATGGTGAAAGATTCCATAAACTATGACTTTCCAGAACGTCTTGTGGATGACGTAAAAGAAAACTCTTTAGGAGATAAGAGCTTCTTAACTCAAGTTTCAGAATCTATTCACATTCAGGATGGTCATTACTCAATTGGACTTCCGTTTAAGGATCCCTTAGTTCAGTTACCCAACAATATCATGCAAGGATTTCAGAGACTTGGGAGTCTAAAGAAGAAACTGATAAAGGATCCAAAGGTTAGAGATGACTATGTGACTTTTATGAACAAGCTGTTTGAGAAGGGATATGCAGAACCTGTTCCACAAAGTCAGCTACAAAGAGAGGCTGGCAGAGTGTGGTACCTACCGCACCACGGAGTTTACAACAATAAAAAACCAGGGAAGATTAGAGTTGTGTTTGACTGCTCTGCAGTGTATATGGGGATTTCACTAAACAGCCAGTTACTCCAAGGACCCGACCTAACAAATAGTTTACTTGGTGTACTTTTAAGATTTCGTCAGGAGAAAATTGCTATACAAGGAGATATTGAGGCTATGTTTCACCAAGTATTAATCCCCGAACAAGATCGAAACTGTCTAAGATTTCTGTGGTGGAAGGATGGCAATCTAGATGCCATCCCTGAACAATACATAATGAAAGTTCACATCTTTGGAGCCACTTCCTCTCCAACTTGCTGTAACTATGCACTACAACAGACAGCTAAAGAATATGGTTCCGACTTTGATCCTACAGTGGTGACCACAGTACTCAAGGATATGTATGTAGATGACTGTTTGGCTTCGGTTGACACAGAGAAGAAAGCGGCCCTACTCATTAAAGGTCTGTCTACACTTTGTAGCAAAGGTGGTTTTCATCTGACAAAATGGATTAGTAACTCAAAACAAGTCTTAGAATCTGTTCTAGAAGATGATCGAGCTAAAGATGTGCAGGAATGGAACCTTGAAGGTGAAAGTGAAACACTCGTAGAACGTGCACTAGGTGTGTACTGGCTTGCTAACAGTGACCATTTAGGATTCCTGATAAACATTAAAAATCAGCCAACAACCAGAAGAGGAATTCTATCAATAGTGAGCTCAATATTTGATCCTCTTGGTATCGTGTCACCTTTTGTGATGACAGCAAAGACACTTCTTCAAAAAATGTGCAAAAATTCAATTGGATGGGATGAAGAGAATACAGGAAGTCAGCTTAAGGACTGGAAAAATTGGCTGACGCAAGCAAAGGAACTTGAAAATGTAACACTTGAAAGATGCTACAAGCCACAAGACTTCGGGAGAACGACATGTCAGGAGTTGCATTGTTTTGCAGATGCCAGTGAAGTTGGAATAGGAGTTGTTATATATCTACGACTCATCAGTGAGACTGGAAAAATCCACTGTTCCTTTGTTCTTGGAAAGTCACCGTTAAAAACAGTGACGATACCGAGGCTTGAGTTGACGGCATCAACTTTAGCAGTGAAATTATGCAAGATAGTTACAAAACAGTTGGATAACCAAGTTGATCAAGTTTACTTCTGGACAGATAGCATGTCAGTTCTTCGTTACATAAATAACACAAAAACTCGTTTTCAAACATTTGTTGCCAATAGGCTTGCCATAATTCATGCAGCAACTACAGTCAACCAGTGGCACTATGTCAACTCTAAAGATAATCCAGCAGACTGTGTGTCAAGGGGAATACTAGTAGTAAGTAGATTTCTTGACTCAGCAGCATGGTTCAGTGGTCCTGAGTGGTTATGGAAACCGGATGTTTCATGGCCGTCTTCTGAAATCATTAGTGATTCGTCAGAAATTGACAGTGCTGAAATAAAGGACAGCATCAACACAGCAGTTAAAACAGAAACAGTGGAAGGAATGGAAAGATTACTCCAGCACTTCTCTTCCTAGAAAAAGCTGAAAACAGTGACTGGATGGCTACTCTTAGCACGAGAAAACCTCAAAGGAATAATGGAGAGGAAAAGAGAACGGAGATCAAGAATGATATCGGAGGGATTTACAGAAGAGAAAATACAAGAATTGGAAATGAAGGAAATGCATAACAGATTGAAAAATGCTACACAAAGACCTTCATTAAATGTAGACATTCTTGACAGAGCAGAAACAGACATTTTGAAGTATGTGCAGATGAAGCATTTTGCCCAAGAATTTAAAGACTTGAATTCAAGTGAAAATGGAGTTGTGAAAAGGTTATCAAGATTAGCCAAGTTAGACCCAATTGTTCACAATGGAGTTCTACGTGTAGGCGGTAGACTTAAGAAACTGGATACAACTCTTAACAGTAAACATCAAGATATTATTCCCAAAGAGTCTGTATTAGCCAGGTTGATAGCAGAGGAAGCACATAAATCTGTCGGACTCTTGGGAAAAAATTTAACGCTGGCACTTATCCGTGAAAAATATTCGATTCTTGGTGTGTCATCAATTTTGAAGTCCATCATTTCCAGATGTGTTATATGCAGAAGATATCAGGCACCTACTTTGAAACAGAAAATGGCAGACCTTCCCAGCGAGAGACTGAAACCTGATGAACCCCCTTTTACTCGAGTGGGAATGGATTATTTTGGTCCATTTGAGCTTAAAAGAGGAAGCAGCATAGTAAAACGGTACGGTGTCATATTTACTTGTCTATCTTCCCGAGCAGTACATTTAGAGGTTGCCTTTTCCTTGAATACAGACTCCTGTATTGACGCCATTCGAAGGCTTATTGCACGACGAGGAAAACCAACTTATATAGTGTCTGATAATGGAACAAATCTCGTTGGTGCAGAACGTGTGCTAAGAACAGCACTTCATTCCTGGAATACGAACAGCATTTCCAGTCAATTATTACAGTCAGGAATTGAATGGAGCTTTAATCCACCGGCTGCGTCTCACTTTGGAGGAGTATGGGAACGCCTCATCAGGATAGTCAGGAAAATCATGTATTCTGTTCTACATGAACAAACAATTCATTTGGATGATGAGGGACTGTTAACCTTGTTTTGTGAAATTGAAGCTATTATGAATGGACGACCCCTTACAGAAGCTTCAGATGATCCGAATGACCTTTGTGCACTTACACCAAATCATATACTACTCATGAGATCAGGAGAGAGCTTTCCCCCTGGAATTTTCCATACTTCTGACAACTACGCAAAACGTCGATGGAAGCAGATTCAGTATTTGGCTGATGTTTTCTGGACACGTTGGATCAGAGAATATGTACCCCTTCTCCAACAGAGACAGAAGTGGCTGAAGCAGGAAAGAAACTTACAAGAGGGTGATTTAGTTCTCATCGTGGAAAACACTCCAAGAAACGCATGGAATCTCGGTAGAGTGCTCGAAGTGATAAAGGACAACTATGATGTTGTGCGTGTTGCGAGGATAAAGACATTGTCTTCCATTATAACGAGGCCAGTGACAAAACTTTGTCTTCTTTTGGAAACAGATTGTGAAAAAGAGAAAACAAATCAGTGAACCTTTGTGCAATGAAATGTTTAGTGAATGAACTCATTTTGGATACATCGTTTTGTCCATTTTTGGTATATTGAGAAATATGTTTTTGTAAAAACACATTTAGGGGCCGGTGTAATGGACAATCTGTATATCTTATTTTGAATTCCAATTTTGTCCGTAAGTTTCGATTTCTGTGCATTCCAATTTTATCAGAATGATACGTTTATCAAATGTTGAGAAATGCACGAGCGCCATATTTAGATCAGTGAGTGCAGTAGTTTGTTGTGTTCTAGCTGAAAGTACCAGACATACATCACGGTAATTATATATTAATTATTTATTACATACTGTCTGCTATATGCATTTACTTGTTACATTGAATTTGAATAGGAATTTGTCATATTACCACTATTTGCAAAGTTTAAAAGAAGGAGCACTTTTTGTGTCATGATTTATATTGATAAAAGGTTACATTATATGTATATTCTGTTTTGAGTACAAGTATTTATTATATTTACATTTTATTTGTAGTCAATCTATGTCAGAAACAGGGACTTTGTCATACTATGTCAGAAACAGGGACTTTGTCATACTATGTCAGAGACAAGGACTTTGCTATACAATGCCAGAATGTGTTCATGTTAATAAAGACATTGAATTGAACCTGTGTCGTTGGTACAAGAGAACACTACATGCTGATCATATAAATAGTTCATCAGTAAAAATGCTTACTGTACAGTTCAAATGGTAGAAAAACATAAATCTTTATCACTTATAATACATATGAAACTTACTCTGTGGTGTATCAAACTTATCTCTATTGATTACATGCGGTGTGCTGCACTTCCAGCCATCATGTGTTTACATCCTAAAAATAACTTGTACCTGAATTCACAAACAATAAAAGACAGTTTGTTCATAAAATGGTTCCACTACACTCCCCGCTTATTTCTACTAGAAATCATCTCAACAAAAATATACAACATCTTAATAAACGAGAACAGTTAGAATCTACGCACTAAACAAGTAAATCAACTCTGTTACAGGTTTAGTGTACAACACTGGTTTCTCACTTTTAATTACACGTACAGACACTTTTCTAACTCGGCCATCCTCACTTTCAAAACACTGTTCTATGACACCAGTTGGCCACTGCCACTGGGGGCCTCTGTGTCCTTCATTAGTACAGGGTCACCTTCATTGAAACTTGGCTGTTCACTATCCCATTTCTGACGCGCTTGTAGTGTCTTCAAGTACAGACCCTGAAACGTGCTACTACCCCACACGCTCGCTGCACGAACGGTACACGCTCGCTACACGGTTTGCACGAAACGCTGCACGGTTTGCACGAAACGCTACACGGTTTACACGAAACGCTTTGCATGAAAGGCTGCACGGTTTACACGAAAGCCTGCACGAAACGCTTTGTACACGTTTCTCACACGCTTTGTACACGATTCTCGCACGTTTTGGCCTCGATCTGGATTTTCTATTCGGAATCTTTCGGACTTTATTAAATTAAGTAAATTACGGATTAATCAAAGATTAGTTAAGAATTACAATTATTCAGATTAAGTTAGGATTAGAGCTCGCTACTCCAGTACTATATTAACAGATAAAAATACACAATGTTAAGTTGTATTTAATTTATATTATAGTTGTCAATGAGTATGTGACGCGCCCGGTGAAATGCCTATCATCGTCTATGTACAAAACTTTTTCACTAGATTCTAAATTACGCACCGAAAAAAATAATTATATTTGTAATTCATAATCTTTAATTACAGCATTCAATGTTTTTACAATTATAGTTTGATATTAACAAATCGTTTTATTACTGACAAATAAACCCAGTTATTGATTTGAAAAAAAAAAATGATTAAATTGTGTATGATTTCTGTAAACGGATTGATTTTCTTTCCTTTTCTTTTTTTTTATTATTGATTGATTTATTCAATTTTTGATTTAGTAAATAAATACTTTCATTTGATTGAATTAGGTTCTGTCTATAATTTGCAAAGGTAATATGTACACTAAATCAAGTAGGAACATTGTGCAGGATGGGGGGGGGGGGGGAGGGTAGATTACCGAGATCTTACTTCTGTTCATGGCTAAGTATAACTGGCACTTGTTTCAGTAAGTATACCATTGGGAAAAAATTATTATAGAAACAAATGCTCGTTCTAAGGAAAAAAAAGATATCCATATCTTCAGCGGGACCCGATACATGTAATTCATATACTGCACTTTAATTAGAATGGTAAATATATCGCTTCATTACAGAATCAAACTTTAACTTATCATTAAAATTTAATATAGTAGAGAAGCCGGGGGAATAGGTATTGTAATGCTTTAGTTCTCCATTTTGAGGCATTGTGTTTATCAAATAAAAACAATATACCCACCACCTTGTAAAATCCTTGATTTCAAATCCCGTCCAGACAAAAAAAAAAAAAAAAAAAAAAAAAAAAATGTACAATGTAATCAATATAGTCGCGGCCCTTAACAATACATTCAATATACATGAATACATGTCCAGTGCCCTAAAAACTAAAAAATATGCTCTAGAACTGCGTGATTAAAAAAACAATTAATATATAATTACTCCGGATTTTTTTCTTTACATTTTATTATTCACGAATACACTGGCAAATTAATTCACTGTTTACAGAGAATCGGATAAATTTAAGAAATAAAATCCACGGGTATTTATTTTTACCCATTAAATACTAATACAACTATTAAATTTCACGAATTAAAAATCAATCGTTATTGTCGGGTGTCATCTTAGCCATGACTGATAAAAGATAATACACGTACATGTAGCAGAACAAGTTTTCAGTTCCCGGCACGCGGAGCCCGTGATCGCTGTTGTAAATGACCTTGATCACAGTCGTAAGAAGAGTGTCGGAAGTGTAAAAAAAAGATTCCAATACATTTTTAAGGGGTGCATCACGCGCACCCCGAAAAAAAAATATTTTCTTTAAAAAGAAAATTATCTATAAAAAACATGTAAATAACAAAAACTCAAAGTTTGTGTTTACATTTATACACACACCCCAACCCCCGGAAATATTTTTAACCTTGTATTTGCAGATGCATGTGAATTATGATTCATTTATAAGATAATTATTAATCAACCAATTTAATGCTTAAAAAGACTATAAATGACTCATCGTTTAATTTTTTTTTTTCTATCACAATCTTGTAATAAAAGAAAATTATGCTCGTTTATAAAGAAAAAAAAAATAATTGTGCTCCCCGGCCTAGAATTATCATACTTCACATTTATAGCAACGCAATAAACTTAGTATTTTACATTTCACGCCTGCATTATCTATTTATTATTTTGCATTAATCACCCATATGTTAACGTTTTTGTAATATCTATATACCACAACTGTAAAATGGTGAAGAGATTCAAATAAATGAATGAAAAGGACAAGACCGGATTATTGATGATTTTTTTAAAACGATGTTCAGTATTGCTCCCTTTTAAAAAATGTATTGAATCAAATATCTTAAAATTGATGTGCGTATAATTAATTACTTTGAACATATTTTTTTCCTTCTTTATTTAAATAAAAAAAGAAAGAAAATCAAACAAATATGTAATGCATTACCGAGTAATTTTATTTTGTTGTTTCTGTAATTTTTTCTCTCTTAAAAAACCACCGGTATAATATATTCGAATAATATTAGTTACAAACAACAGAGAATGACATGTTGATCCATCAGTAGCCATATTTAAAATAAAATGAATTCCAAATGAATCCTACACGTTTCTCACACGATTCTTGCACGAAAGTCGCACGTTTCTCACACGGTTTTTACACGAAAGTCGCACGTTTCTCACACGCTTCTCGCACGCTCGCTACACGGTTTGCACGAAACGCTTTGGGGCTTACACGAAACGCTGCACGGTTTACACGAAACGCTACACGGTTTGCACGAAACGCTGCACGGTTTACATGAAACGCTACACGGTTTGCACGAAACGAAAAGCGCACGAAAGTCACACGCTTTTTGGGGGTAGTAGCACGTTTCAGGGTCTGTATCTTTCTTTCCACTGTGTTCAGAACTGTTCAGCCAAGACTTGTACTTGACGCCATTGTGACTTAATCATGTCTTTAACTCCAAAATGCTGAAGTGGCTCCACTTGTTGACCTGTCTTTAGTGTTAGGATTGTTGCCGGGGATAAGACTGTTGGAGAATCTGGATCCGAGGACACTGCACCAAGAGGTCTCGAGTTCATAATTGCGCACACCTCTGCCATTAGTGTGCACAAGACCTCAGGTGTAAGGCCTTTGCAAGGTAGGTGACATAACATGGAATCAAGTATGCGACGTGCGATTCCTATCATTCGTTCCCAAGCACCGGCCATGTGTAATGAATGGGGTACATTAAACTTCTATACAGTGCCGCTGTTAAACAAGAAACGATTTGCTGGTCCATCTTCAACATTGATGGCATCTATCTTTAAGTCATCTGTCGCACCTATGAAGTTAGTTCCCCTGTCCGATCGGAACTCAACAACCGGTCCCCTGAGAGATACAAATCTGCGCAGTGCATTAATGGGGGAAGAAGAGCTTAGTTCTTCAATGACTTCAATATGGACTCCACGTGTAACAAGACAGGAGTACATGACTGCCCAGCGTTTCGAATTTGCACTGCCTCCCCTTGTCTTCCTGGTCACTATGGTCCATGGACCAAATACGTCCACCCCTACATAGCTGAATGGTGGGCTCGGTGCTAGGCGTTCTGTAGGGAGATCAGACATCTTCTGGTACTCTGTTTTGCCTCGAAGTTTGCCTCAGATGCCCACCAACTCGCAATGGTCCTTCCTCGTCCAGGATGGGAGAAAGGTGCAAGATGCTGCTATTCCTTGGTAATGCCTGGTTACTGCATAAACAATTCATCTTCTTAGAATAAAATTCCTGTTGAATGGTTTTCAGAATGAATCGTTCTGCTTCTTTGTAAAGGGTGAGAGGATCTTTAGGAGAACTTTGTTTACTACACCT